ATTTGTAAGAGATTCACATAATCATCAAATTATAGATCAGGTAATTTAATGCATTAAACTCATAATAAAATCAACAAACATATAAATAAATCACATAAATTTTGAATAAAAAACTAAAGGATCACAGGTCGATTACATTGCTTTCCTTGATATAAAAATTAATTATTTATATTGTAAAAATAAAAACGTGCAAAAGTGGAACGATATCACAAAAAATTGACGAAACGTGAAATTTCTCGTCTGTCGTCTCCTTTCTTCTTTTCTCTTCTTTTTCTTCTTCTTTTCCCTCTATTTTCTTTATGTTTTTTTTTTCTCTTTTCTTTCTATGTTTCTTTCTTTTTATTTCTCCCCTCTTTCTTCTTCTTTTCTTTTCTTTTTCATTTGCTTCCTTCTCTCTCTTTTTTTTTGCCTTTCTTTTACTCTTCTCTCTCTTTCTTTTCTGCCACAGTTTTCTTTTCTGTTTTCCTTTCTCCACATTTTTTCTCTCTCCTCTGTCTATATATCTTCTATATATTAAAAGTGGCTATGTAACGGAATTTCTTGTTTTTAACGGAAAAATTAACGGAATTTGTTGTTTTAACGGATTATGTAACGAAATTTCTTGTTTTAAACAGGCAGTTGCACATTCCTTCAATGTTTTTATCATAACTTTGTATTCCGATATCTGATTGAGGCGATTCAAAATGCGTTGGAAAGCTAACTCATCTGGCTACAACTTTGATTTAGACATTATTTTCTAATTTCATCACTTTCTATGCCAAAAATAGGTCTCAATATGAGACTAAAATATCGGAGCATAGCTTTTCGGTTGGAAATTGATTTGTGATCATCTTTTGACTAAATTTGATTCCATTGACGTCTTCCTTTATCCAATTGACTCTGAGAACTCTCAAATCTTCATCGTGAGATTCGGCACAACTTTTAAGTATTTACATTTTAGCCCCCGAACTTTGGATCCCTTACAATTTAGCCATTTCTCCAAATTTGTCTACTTTTACTTATTTTCTTCAATCTCATCAAAATCACTCATCTAATTATTTATCAATTAAAAAAACATTACATCATAAATTATTTAAATAACCAAAAAAATTACATCTTTATTAATAACAAATTAATTTTTAAACAAATTTATTAAATATAAACTTGGTAAACGTGCATTGCACGTTGCTTGCACCTAGTGTGTATATATATGTGTGTGTGTGTGTTTAATTTGATCATCCAATTAAAATTTTCAATGCAAGTCCATTGAGACTCATTTAACTCCAATTCATTTAATATATTATTTCTCTCCAAAATTTCATATTCGGATTTTGTTATTTTTCGTCACTTTTGCCCCGTGGGGTAGGGATATATTTTAATTTACGTTAAAGTTAACAATTAATTTTAACCACATATTTTATGAGACTCACAATTTTTTAACCTTACATTTCATCAACTTTTATCAAAATATGCTAAAAATTTAGTTTTAATTTCTAACAAAAATGGACAAAAGTGCGTTCACTTTATCTGTCCTTGAAAAAGCAATATGGGTCTGTGTTGAAAAATATTTTATGCCCTAAGCCTATTGATCCAAATCCCAATATTTTATTACAAAAATGTGTGATTAAAAATGAATATGAAAAAAAATAATTTTAAAAAAATAGTTAATATAACATGCAAGTTCAAAACTTTTTTATTTTTATTTTTTAAATTCTTCATCAAAATATTATTTCAAAATATATTTTCATAAAAAAAAAAATGAGGCTCAAATAAGCTCTTGTTTCTGACCCCACATCCATACGCTATTCCACACATGATTTTTAAGAGCTTGTTTCACAGCCATTTTTGTAAAAAAAAAAAAAGAAAAGAGTTTTGAATAGTGAATTTTAGGAATGTGCAGTTAAAAAGAATGAAAATTTTTTGATAAACACGTAGAATTTTTTATTATTTGAATATATGAAAATAGTTTTGTAACAAATCATAAAATAAATTAATGGTTTTCAAACACGCTCTAAATATTCATATAATTATCACAATTTAATGATTTTGCCCCTCCTAATTCATTTCAGTTTCCTTATTTGACACTAATTGAGATATTAAGAGT